TCTGGATCCACTGGGAATGCTGGTTCTGGATCCACTGGGAATGCTGGTTCTGCTCTCTGTGGAGCCAGTGGGAATCTCAAGTGTTCATCTGGGAATGGTGGCTCTGCTGCCTCTGGGGCAACTGGGAATGGTGGTTCTGGATCCACTGGGAATGCTGGCTCTGCTCATTCTGGAGCTGCTGGGAATGCTGGCTCTGGATCCACTGGGAATGGTGACTCTGGATCCACTGGGAATGCTGGTTCTGCTCCTGGGAACCCCAGTGCTTTTCTATCCCCCCTGATCTGCTGGGAATGGTGGCTCTGCTCCCTCTGGAGCCACTGGGAATTCCAGAGCCATTCCCTCTTCTCAGATCTGGAAATCCCAGTGCTGATCCACTGGGAATACCGGCACCGCTCCCATCCCTTGGGATCTGCTGGGAGTGGAATTTCAGCATCGCTCCATCTCCCTGGATCCTCTGGGAATGCTGGTGCTGCTCCCCCTGGATCCACTGGGAATCCAGGCTCCACTCCCCCGGGATCCCCTGGGAATGCCGTCACCATTCCCCTCTTCCCACCTGATCCCACTTTTCCCCCCCTGTATCCAGGTGCTGCTCATGGTGGGGCTGCCGGGCTCCGGGAAGACCCAGTGGGCTCAGAAACATTCCCAGGAAAACCGGGAGAAGCGCTACAACATCCTGGGAACAGAGGCCGTCCTGCACCAGCTGCGGGTGAGCACCGGGAATACCGGGAATGCCAACGGTGTTCCCTGGGGTTGGGAGGGGAAGCAGGGATTGAGGGGGGGGTGGGGGAGGCATAGAGGGAATTTGGGGGAGCTTGAGGGAAGTTTAGAGGGAATTTGAGGGGGGAATTGGGAATTTGGGGGAGTTTGAAGAAGGTTTAGAGGGAATTTGGGGGAGTTTGAGGGAGGTTTAGGGGGAATTTGGAGAGTTTGAGGGGGAATTGGGAATTTGGAGAGTTTGAGAGGGGATTTGGGAATTCAGGGGAGTTTGAGGGAGGTTTAGAGGGAATTTGAGGGGGAAATTGGGAATTTAGGGGAGTTTGAGGGAAGTTTAGAGGGGATTTGAGGAACTTGAGGGGGAAATTGGAAATTAGGGAGTCA